TATTGAAACTCACAAAGTCATGTTGACAGACTGTAAATCATCTTTGGGTTCTACTTGTTTTTTCAGAAGCATGAATTGAACTGTATTTAAACTGTGGAGAAGTACTCTCCTGCCTTAGGCACTTTTAGAATTTTTTTTACTTTTAATAAGCAATTCTTGCATGGAAGAATGAACAGAAAGTACTCTTTTAATCAACACTTTTCCCCTTTTTTCTTCATATGGAGATAGATTGATGTTGGCAAGGGAATATATCGGCTTTCTATTAGATTTTGTATGGAACTGTTTTGTGTGATGTTACCTGAAAAGAACGCTGGCTGGTGTAACTAAATTGACAGTTTTTCTGAAGACAGCTAGAAAGTATCCCAAGAACACATCTAGCTGTGTGCCGTACTGTGAACTTCTGAGGTTACAAAATAAACAGGACTGTTGTCCAGGGTCTTAAACTCACTGCAGAGACACTTATTTGTGCCTCACTCACAGACATTTATTTGACTCTTGGACCTCTTAAAATTTTGCCAACTTTTAAAAATACTTGTCATAGTCTGTGTTCTTTCCAAGGTAAAGTATCTTTATTGGGTTTTTTTCCACAAATATTATGGAGTTTCTGTCATTGTACACATAATTTTGAATGTTTTTATATTTTTTGATAGTCTGTTGTATTAGTTAACCTATCCTTATTTTTAGAAACGCCTTTTCTCTGATGTACAGTGTAATTATATTCCTTGACGCATCTCTTCTTCATATGCAAGAGTAGATATTGCTTTTCCTTTTTTTAGAAGTCCTTTATGAACTTGAAGATCAGTCCTTTCTTCTTTGCACTTCAGTTTTGGCTCTTACCTCTGTAATTTGATCTGGTCTTTTGCACAGCACTCAGGATGCCAGGATCTCTATAGAATTAGTTATTCTGAATGTTCATTGAAGCAGTCCATGACTGACTTCTAACTTTTTTCCCTGAAGATGACTAACTCATTTGCATCCTTGGGGCAGATTTACAATTTGAAGTGCAGAATATTTGACTTCTTCCTTGCCTTTACTTGACCAGTGTTATCTGTAACCATCACCATGGTAAAGAAACTGGCTGACACAAGCTCCCCTCTGTTCCATACTTTTGACTGTGCCCTACTTTTGACTGTTTTAGCAAAGTAGCACTGAATGGAGCCTACAGCTTGAAAACTGAGACAACTGAAATGTAAATATTTTATTAATCTCTTAGTATGCAACACAGAACATTGTTAAAACTGACTTGAAGTATGCTTATGTCAATAAATACTGTCTAGTTTGCTAGTACCACTAGATTGAGCTGCCAGTACAGTTGGTACCCATGTACTTTTGTCTGGCCTTAATTTTCAGTTAAAGTTCACTTCAAGGATTACCCTTTAACTGGATCTAAGCTTGTTTTGCTAGGAATCAAAGCTGAAACTAGCAGAATTCAAACACTATCACCATATATATTTTCATAGAATTTCATATTCTTCTCCTTTTGTTCATTCTTTATCCTAAAGAACAATTATTAGTATATTCAGACAATAATTACCTATAAGGAGATTAACCTCACAGATTTTTGTTGTATTTTGTGAGTGAAGTAGGACTACAGAAAATCATTCAGGAAAGATGGTGATTGATAATTTTTATAATAAAACTGGGTATGAGAATTTTCTTCTAGATACTAATCCTATTTAAACCTCTCTTTATTTTTTAGTGTGTGATTTCCTGGGGGAAAAGATTGCATCTGTTCTGGGAATAAGCACACCAAAATACCAATATGCCATTGATGAGTATTACAGAATGAAGAGAGAGGTATGTGTGTGAGCTAGGGTTCTTGCACTCCTTTTCTCCCAACTTGTCTTCCTGATGTTCTAAAAAATAAAATTTGTATTCTAGCATTAAAATGAAGCTTTAGACCCTCAAATGTCCTTACCTTGTAAGAGTAACTGGTATGCTCTTATGGAAAGACTTAATCTAAGTAAGTGGTAAATAGTACATAGTAGCACATGAATCTGGTTATCTCTTTCTAGGAGGAAGAGGAGGAACATGAAAACAAGATGTCAGAAGAAGCAGAAAGACAGCATCAGGAACAGCAGAACAAGCCACAAGCAGAAGCTCCTGTCCAGACAGACCAGCCTGGAGCAACAGCATGCTCTTCATTCGTGAATGTAAACTTTGAAAATGAGGGAGATTGCCCGCCCACTGCAGAAAATAAACAAGATGTAGTTCCTGTCCCTCCTTAAGTGCAAAGCTCTGTATAATGTAGGAAATAAGAACTGTCAGGCGTCACAATCTGCCTGTAAACGGGAAAAACAGGATTATGCTTGTTCAGAGAAAAACAACTCCTACCATTCTTATTGATCAGGAGAGAGCTAGGTGATGTCTCTTCAGTCTGTCTGCCTGATAAAGGCTGAGGCATTCTGCCAAATTGGCACTTCAGTTAAAATGAAAATTGCACTACAAACATTTGGTCTAAAATTGAATGTGTGAGCTAATTTCTGTGTAAAGTAAGTAGAAATGTCTTTTCTTTGAATTGCTGTATCTCTAACACCTGTGAATTGCAGAGGCAGTGTTGTTTCCTATTTCTAAAAACCTGATTTGCACATTGTTTGCAACTTGGCTCTCTATGAATAGATTAATAGGAATTAATATCCTGTAACTCAAAAGTAATTATAATAGGTCTTATTCCCCCTATTTATTGTCACTGTTGTGTGCATGTATTTTTTTTTTCTGTTGTTAACACAAGAGAAAAATGTTAGATTTAATGTTAATTAGATTAAAGGGTCCACTGACTTTTTGTTTTTTAAGTAAAAAAAATCCCAACTTTCCAGGAGGCTATAAGCATCCTTAAGAACTTACTAACAAGTACCACCACTCTTGGAGGCTAATAGTGCTCAGCTGCTCCATCCAGTGCTGTAGCAAAGTTCAGAACTAACATACATCAGTGTAGGATATTCTCAAGCCCAAGAATTAAGAGACTCATGTGCTGGAATGCATGCTCTCAGTGGTCTGGAAAAGAAACTAAAGTCTTGCTAAATGATATTAAGTGCACTGGACACTCTATGTAGTACCAGTCTAGAACTATGAACTTTTTTGGACATCGATTACACAAGTCTGTGTACTTGAGTAACCTAAACAAACAAGGTGTTGAATGTAAAATTGGCAGTAAGGGATGTGCCACTGCAGATGGTTTTCATCCTGTTAGCACAGAATACATACATAACTAGAAACAACAAAACCAAACTTATGACTCTTTCCTTCTCTTAAATAAATATGTGTTGTGATACTGCACTTGCAAAACCAGAAATTTTTATTTTTGTCTAAATGAAGTGCAAGTAGCTCTACATTTAATACCAATTAAGACTATTTTACTGCAATGACTGTTGTACCTGTAGCTTGTAAAAGGTGAATGGTTTACTTTGCAACAATCAGATGTCATTGCCCCAGTAATTTTCTGTGGACAACTGTTGTACATAAAGGAGCAGAGAACCTGCACTAGTTACCATGTAGAATATTACTTCTGTCCTTGAGATGTATATAAAAAAAAGTTAAAAATAGTCCTCAGTGAAATTGGGTTGTTGGGTATCATGACATGTCCCTGGCCTTGCTTCCACTACCAACTAAGGAGCCTGATATAACAGTACTGGCCAGGTAACTTGGCTCTTAGTTTCTGGAATTAATTGCATATTTCAGATGACCCTCTGCCTGAACTAATGTCCTGTACAGCACAAATTCTTCCTCTCATCTGCCTGTAGCCCTCCAGTACGACAGAAAATCTAGGAGGAGGATTCCATCATCAGCTCTAGTCCATCTGTTTTGATACTCCATTCTTTGCCTTTTCTGAATTGTCAGACAGAGGGTGCTGACCACAGCATAAGATCACTCCTTTGCCCTGAATGTCTGCAAGGGAGAGCTTGATTCAACACCTGGGGAATACACAGAAAAGCAGCTTGTTAGGAGTTCTTATAGCATCAAAGAAGGAAAACGTCAGATAGCTTGAGTAATACCTTGACAGCTGAAGGATATTTTGCTTTTCTTCCAATAAATTAATGTCAGTTGTTTTTTTTTTTTAACCTTCTTTCCCTACTATTTGTTGCATAACAAATGCTCTCACTGCCTTCTTTGTATGAAATACTGTATTACTCACTGTGCCTTAACTTAACCCTTCCTTTTTTGCAAACTGTATGAAAGTGGTTACTTTCATATTGGTTTAATTTTTCTGTAAATGCATTAATCGGTTATTTTATATTTAATATAATTTTTGAACTGGAAGCTGGCTATGGATTTTCCTTTAAAACGGTGTGGTCTTTGAAACGTTATGCCTGTACACAGGTACATGTGCCTGTTTAGTGTTTTCATCTTTACTAAGTCACATTTCCTGGTGGAATATTCAGGCAGCAGATTTCAAAATATCATTTTACCCTCACCCCTTCCTTAGACTACCTCAAACTAATAAATAATGCAGGATTGTAAACACTTCTGTCCTGGAGCTATTGTAATTCTGTCTGAAAGCTGAAACATTTCTGTGGCTTTCTTAAGGAATAAGAGTTTCACAGCTTTAACTGCTACTGCTGTAGCTCAACTGTACAATTAAGATAGATTACATAAAATACTTACACAGGAGGTTAATTTGGTGAAAGTCTCTGTACAGGTCTTTAGTTTAGTTTTAACTAGATCTAAAGCTAGTGCAGTTTTATTTCTGTTAATGAACCTCTTAAAATTAGATAAATATCTAGGTCAGTAATTTACTTATCCTTCCTGTTACACACTTAAAACTGGTCATGCATAGAAGAAAAAGGCCTAAATTCTTTACTTCTTACGGAAAACTTTTGCTTTCACAACAGAATGCTCACCAGTGCTGTCATGAGAGGAAGCCATGCAGAATGGAGAGGGAGGCTTGGGATGGCTGAGTGGATACAGGCCAGTGCTGAAGACACCAAGAACCACATTCTTACAGGTTAAATTCACACTTAGAATAAGGTATTTAAATAAGAACAGGGCTTGGTACACATGAAAAAAGTCCAAAAATATTTATTTTTTAAAAAAGGTTACTTTTGCCTCTTAAACAGCATTTCAAAAATTACTTCTGTGATTGGCGTGTGAACCGCATTTTATATCAGATGTGGGGGCAAAGGAGGAAGAGAGAGAAGTAAAATGGAAGAGGAGTTAACTCAGATAATGAATGTTTCCAGTTTCCAACAGTTGGCCATCAGATTGAGATCTCTGTGGATACAGCCTGCTCCCATTTGAAGTCACGTATCATCACCATCAGCAGTGCTGTCACTGTCGCTTGCCACAAGGACCTCTCTGTTCTCGTAGGTCCAGAACCCATTCAGATCGATCAGAATGCTGGTAACAGTGTCTCCTTGACTGCTATTGATCAAGTCTTGAAGGGAGATTTTGTAAGGGTCCTTAGGCTTCACCATATCAAAGATTTCATCCTATGAAAGACAAGTCAAAATTGGGAGAAAAGCCCCACACATAAATGAGCAGAATAATGGCTATTTCATACCATATACAGAATGATCTTTGGGTAACTAGTGCCACCCACACCAATTTACAAAAAGCAGCTGTTAAGCCCCAAAGCATTTAAGATACAAAGCACACTGACTGATTGGCTACAGTTCAGAGCAGTGTCCTCAGCTCAACATCTCAAGCAAGAATTTGCTTTGCTGGGGAGGCTTCAGCCTCAAAGAGGCAGAATGAATCTCAGTTCACTTGTATGTGCTAAGTTTTGTAGAGGCTCTTGTCCTTTTTTTTTAGGTACTGAAACTATATATACAGTAGGCAGTAATCAGTTTTATAGGCTGTTTGTTTCAGTCACTAGTCTGCCCCGTCCCCCAAGGAATGATCCCCAGAAGTGTAAAATGGACTTAGCAAGTACCTTCAAGAGTAAGAAACAGCAACATGTATTTACAGGTAATTTGTCTATTATTAAGGAAACTACTAGAACACGACATTTTATAGAGCAACTGCTGACTAGAAAGGCATTTTCAAACCTATGAGTAGGACAAATCAGCTCATTTCTAGTACTCTCCAAATAAATATACAGCAACCTAGAAATTATGTTGGAACACAAATTATTAAATGTTTATTCAAAGATTTTACACAGTATTCCATTTGGTAAAGCTAACCTTGACATCCTGAAAAGAAACTGGTTCTTGTCCATGAATTTTCATTTGTTCCTGAATAGCCTAAAAAAAAAGATAGGAATGGCTAGTGCACAGTTTGATACTGATGCTGTATGAAAGTTATTAAATGCTTCTGCATTTTAAGCTGTATTGCCCTCTAACAAAGCATTCATGGTACAGCTTGCGATAATTTTTCTTCCGTATGTGAAGCAGGGGTAAGTTAAGGCATAATCAATGATATACATCTCTAAGTTCACAGTTCTTAATGAATATGATATGAATCTCATTATGACCAGTGTTTGAGCAATTTGCATATTATCCCTCAACATTCAAAACTTAAGATATGAATACACTCGAACCATAAGGTTACATTTCTGACACAGTATGAAATATAGGCTAAGGAAAGAGAGAAGGAAAATGACCAATTGGCAGAAAGACAAATCAGTTATTTTAATGGGGTACTAATTAAACACCTGCATCACCAAATCTACACCTGCAAGTAACAGCTATGAACAAAACTGTTTCACTAGCACAAGCTGCACAGCCTTGTCTGCACAGCCTCTGTAGATGCAGACCCATCACACTTAATGCTAGCAGAAAAGCAATCATTCACAGAGCAAGAGGAACTGTTCTGATTTCAAGGAAAACTTAGAACATTCCACGTTCTAAAGGCGACTTGTTACAATACAGAAAGAAGGTGTGTATAAGATCCTGCCTTGAGCAGCCCTGAATGCTTTACTGACTCTATGAAGTCTGTAGCTTGTTCTTCATCCTTCAAGCATACAGCTAAGCACAATGACATTATTTATTTTCACAGTTATAATACAAAGATCCATATAACAAAATGTGGAGTGCTTGTCCCTGTGTCTGAATAGATATACTGAGGGAATCCTGCACATGAATAAAGCATCAAGGTTATAACTCAGCTGGAACTATCCACAGCAAAAATACTGTTTCACTGCATAGCACTTCCCAAGATATCCCAGGTATTGATGAGAAAAATACGACAAAACAAAATAACACCTGCCCCCTTTCCAAACCAGAATCACCACTAGTCAAAAGAAAAAAAAAATCCAAAACAACCAAAACCCTTCACATACAAACCACAGTTTGGAGGAAGATTGTAAAATCTTAAGCTAATTTTAACAGCAACTAAAAAAAATTAAGCTCACTTTAAATCTATTTCGGAAGCAGCATGTACAAATGCAGACTATGAAAAATGCAATAAGCTTTTTGCAAGAAAAGCACTGAATGAAAAACCCCACAGCTGTATAGGCCTATCAATAAATTTCATTATCATAATTTCTTTTAGTGAATTTAAATATTACAGTTGAAATTAAAACCATGGGCAGTAATCAATTAGAACTATCATAAAAGATTTTAACAGGTAATCATCCCATAATCTTAGGACAATTTTCAATTAAAAAAAAAAAAACAAATCAACAGAAAATATTTTTCCTACTCAAAATCAAACCAGTTAATTTCAACTGCAGATAAACTACTGAAAATACCTTTTGAAATCTTTCCAATTTTAGTCTTTAAAAAAAAAGTAAGTCTTCTTAGAAGTCGTTACCAGCTTGCCTGTGGCTGTTGGTAATTTAAAGTGATTTCCTGCAGATCTGCATGCAGAAGCACATAGGCTGTAACACTATAAACACAGAAAATGGCCTACTTGTATAAAGAGACTTACCCTAAAGAAATAATTAAGGGAAAAGACATTCAGGTGTCCTTTGTTCTCAATATCAAGCAGTTTGAAAATATATTGCAGAGCTGCAGGCTCCTTTCTGTTTTCTAATGCAAGCACAAAGTCCAGGTAGGTTTTATAGTCCTAGAAGTAGATACAATCACGCTTATTACAGTCTTCTTTCTAAATTGATTTTGCAAGCAGGAACTCTATAATTGGCAGCTATTTCATTCTAGGGGATCAGTTTATTTTCTGAAAAAGACAACATGAAATAGAAAATGGCTGCTACCACTAATGTGCACAGAAAAGTTAGTTTTTCATGTCTGCTGCTAACGAGAAATCCTGCCATTTTAGAGGCAAAATAGCATTCCAAGCATAAATCCAAATGAAACATGCCATATATATGCTTTTAAACAATGTTTAATATATCCTTAAACTGCTGAAATACCCAACTAGTGAAGCAAAAACATAAAATGTTTTCATTATCATAAATTAAAAGCCAACTGGTACCAAATAGTGAACGAGACGGAGACAGTGAACTATACAGCCAATTAAGTACATAATTCTTAATCTTGTCAGCGGTTTGGCAAATTATGTGCCAGAAACATTAGTCAACATTCCAAATAAGTATCACACTTTTCTGTTACATTAGTATGGATTCTTAGTTTCCCAATCAAGGGAAACTTTGTGACAAGGACAGAAGTCCTACAGCCCTGTGTGTATAATTACCCTGTTTACCTGTAACACCAGGGAGTTGTGCTGTCATTCAGAGGGAGCTTGACAGCCTGGAAAAATGGGCTAACAGGAGCCTCATTGAGTTCAACAGAGGGAAGGCAAAATCCTGCATCTGGGGAGGAATAACTCCACGTACCTGTAGAGTTGGGGGCTGACTACCAGAAAACAGCTTTGCAACAGGCCCCTGCAGCAAAGGCTGCTCACAGCACCCTCAGCTGCATTAGGAAATGCTTTGGTGGCAAGCTGAGGAAGGTGATCCTTCTCTACATCCAGGCACTGGGTCCGGCCCTGGTCTCCCCCATACAAGAGATGATCCTACTGTTGCAAGTCCAGAACAGGACAACTAAGAGGATCCCTCAAGACCTCAATGATTATGTGATTCCAACAAAAAAACTGCTCAGGTGGCAAAAGGGCTGTATAGTGAATTTCTAACTTACCACTTCACACTCCAGTCATTTGAATGCAGATAAGAATTGTGGCTAAACATTAAGTAAAGCTTCAAAAATATAGATATAAGGTGTTACTTTAAATTAGATAGCCTTCTCATTTTTCACAGCTATGGAAAGCTTACAATGAAAAACACAGTTGTCTTCATGAAGTTGACAGCTTAGATAACTTGCACGAATCTCAAGTGTGCCACTTGTCTTTGGTTCTCTTTAAAGCATTACATTTAACTAAAAAGTATTGCTGCATCTATAAATTTTTTCAGTATGCACTTTTCTAATTGAATCTACAAGTGACTTTATCCTAAGGTGTCTGGATTCTCTATCACCTCTGCTTTTTCAAACAAGCAATTTATTTTTAGGCCACACTACAATCACCTTGCTCTTAAGAAAATTAACTTTCTAATATGTTGCATGGTCATTTGTGTGCACAATGATAAACAAAAGTTATTTTGCTACATTATTCAATAAGCCAAACCTGGTATGCTGTGGACAAAGGGAAAACATGCAATTACCATTTCACCATCATAAGTTAAGCATTCCTGAAAGACACGATCCAAAAATATGTTGGTCAGAGTGCCTGTTCCATATCGGGACAGCTCTTCTTTGCTGAGCATGCCATTGTGATCTTTATCAAGGTTTAAGTACTGACCTAGGAAGGAGATTAAAAAAGCAAACCATAAGATACCTCTATCAGAACTCTTTCAACAGAGAAAAATAAACATTGAAATGCTAAATTTTTTAATTTCCATAATAAAGTTAACGCAGTTAAGTGAGAATTTACTAGATTCACAATAATAATCAGAAAGCATCAGAAATAAGTACAGAACATGGAAGGAGAGAAGGGGGATTCCCATAATGAGGTGTTAGCAGTTCTAATATAAGTTAATAGCTGTGTATACTGAGAGAGGAGCAGAAGGCTAAGAGCATATTACTTTATTCAAATATGCTGTAAGCATTAATAAAGAGCTAGAAATGATGCAAAGGCATGAATAGAGCCAGAAGAGAAGGTTACAGCGGAATCTTGTACCTTGTGCAACAAAGTGACAGATTTTAAAACCACAATAAAGAGCAACAGTGGAGAACCAAAATTAAAGAAAGTCAGGAATATAAACTGAAAGGGTGAATACAGGATTTGAAAAGAAGTTAGCAGGAGGATTTAACATGACAAAAACACAGGAAAAATAGCAGTAATAATCTGACTAAGTCACACAAGAAAGAGAAGAAGGAAAGTGTTGGCATATAAAGGAACCTACCATAAACTCTTAATGCAGAAGGAGCAGAAAACCAATTTGTTTCCTGACTTTCTTTAGAAAGTTCTTCATCCCTTAACTAAGTGAAACACAAAGTTAGAATTCAGAAAGAGTAAATTAAAATACAACAGTATATGTTAGAGATCTTTACCTCCAGTAAATCATCCAGGAAGCTGCAAGCTAAAATATCCTGTATCTTTATCTTCCCTGCAGCAAGAAAAAGAAAATACATTTTAACAGTTGCTCAGCCAACATATCCATTTGACTATTCTCATTTAGGTGGTTCTACTTAAGAAAGAAATATTTGGAGCAGAAAATGATGTCTTTTAAAGAAACAAAAGCTAAACAAAACCCATGTCTAACATCAAGGATAACATTCTAATTTCAGAGATAAAATACCTTTTAAAATGTTTGGACAAAACTAGCCTGATATTGGCAGGAGCTATCCTGAAGCCTTAAATGCCAGAAAACTAGATTAAAATAAATGTGAATGTTCAACATCAACTACTCAAAATGTAAAAAAAAAATGCAAAGAAAGTATGCTTAAGACATTTGATGAAATAATAGTCTCCTAAGTGACATGATATTCTTACATCTTCAAAACTACAGCTGTGACACGAAGCTAAGGTAGCAGAATAAGCTTCTGCTGGTGCAGCTCTGACTGGTGCACAGACACTGTGCTAACAGCTGTGCAAAATAATGGCACTTAAAACTTCCCACCCACCGTCTCCAAATGTTTGAAATTACCTCTGTCAGAGGCTGCTGCCCACACAATTCTGACCTTTACAAGGGGCACAGCTGGAGCTTGGAAACACAGGCAGTTTGTGACTTAAATGGGAGGGCATAGGAGGGAGCTACACTTGTAACAAGCATTAGCAGACCTAACTGCAGACCTTTTCTAGTGGGTCTGCATGGTGCATACAGATTTAATCACAGGAAAAGCACATCACCCTAACCATTCCTGAGCATTTCCACAGCTCTGTGGATGTTCTGACAAGCAGTTGTGTTGTTGGTTGCTGTGTTTTCTATTCACCCTAAACACTTAAAAAATTAGCTACTGCTAATGGCTCATTATGATGAAACAGTATCTTATTTGTCAGTTTCTATGAGATAACTCTATAGAACCTCAACTGATAGGTATCTCACAGAAATTCATTAGCTCTAAAAGTAGATTATTAGACCACAATAAAGAGTCATGGTCCTCAGTGGAGAATAATCTTCAATGCTGAACAAAAGCCTACCAGGACAACTACACGTTGCTTCAAAACACAAGTAGCTTCAGTGGAAACATTTTAAGAGACCTACCTGTTCTGAGAGGATCCAGAAAGAAGAAGAACTTTCTAACTGCTGTGCAGACATAAAAGGAGTAAAAGGATTTTTCTAAGCCATCCAGTTGTGGCAAAGTAGGGATGAGTTCCAAAATATAGTTTTCTAAATCCTGCAGAATTAAGAAAAGGAAACAAGCATTGAACACTACTATTGTTCCATGTTTGCTATATTTCTCCCTGGCTTTCAAGTGTATTTTGTTAAAAATACAGTCCTGCAACAATGCAGAAAAGAGCATGAAAGCAGGCAAAAAAGCTTCTGTCTATGTGCAAGAAATCCCAGATAATATACATGCACATGTGATTCTAGGGCTGAAACAACCTATTAATAAATCAGAATTTAACAAAGTACATTATATTTATATGTAAATATAAACGCATTCCACTGTACCTTTTTCAAGTATCAGGAGTATAACTCCTGATTGCATTATCCCATTGTTTAATATTCTTTAATAAATCTTTTTTTCTTTATGTTGAGTGGTAACTATGACATTTTTTTTATAATATTACCTCCTTTTAGAACAGGAGAATAATTTACTGAAGAATAATTTGTGATTTTTATCATAACCTACTAAATCTAGTAAAGTGCTAATGACATGAAATCTTGGTAGATACAATCCTTTTTTCAGAAAATTAACCAAAAGTTTAAAAGGCTAGCACCACTCTCACCACCACATCTCTTGAACACATAAATTGCAATTTATCCAAACAAATGTGCCCACCCCAAATCTATTTTATGATATAAACTTTTACAAGACAAGGCTAGAAAAAAAATTGGGATCTTTCTGATGCTCTGTCATTTGATTTAAAGAGAGACATTAAGTTAATCAAGAATTTACTTACTGATTCTCTGAGGTAGCCTTGTCCTGCCACATCATATAAACTGAGACCTATTCTTGTCTGATGAAGCCATACTTCAGAAAATAGAAACAGAAAACAGAATTACAATGCAAGAAACCTATGGGGCTTTTGAATTCATGCCAAAATTTGATGTTATTCTAGAGGCCGCAAGGCACAGTTGGATTTTAAGCGCCTCTTCCCATTTTTCTGAGCTTTAAGCAAAGCCATGTCATGTACTGCTTAGAAACACTGTTTCAGTCTCTAAATTTTTAGGAGTCACTTGCAGTATACTATAAATATACACTTCATAAATATATACTATATAAATATAAAGATACACCACTGCCATGACTGCCTTATAATAACTAGATGTGAAAAATGGCTGAGCAGACACATTTTATTTGGTGTATCATAGAATGGCTAGGATTAGAAGCAACTTTAAAGATCGCCTAGTTCCAGCCTCCCCCTGCCACAGCCAGGGATGCCACCCACTAGATCAGATTGCTTGAAGCCCCATCCAACCTGGCCTTGAACACTTCCAGGGATGGTGCATCCACAACTTCTCTGGACAATCTGCTCCAGTGCCTCACCACCCTCTAAGTATTTCTTCCTAGCACCTACTCTAAATGTCTCCTCTTTTAATATAAAACTGTGTTGTCCTACCTATTGTCCCTGTCCTATCTGCCTGGGCAAGAAGTCACTCTCCATTTTATACACTCCCATTAAGTGCACAATGAGGACTCCCCCAGAGTCCTCTCTTCTCCAGGCTGGACAACCCCAACTCTCTCAGCCTGTGGTCACAGGAGAGGCTCACATCTTTCCTGTGCTGGCTCAGATGGGGACTCAAGAGTCTCAGAGCACAGAGGGAGAATCATTTTCCCTGACCTGCTGGCCATGCTTCCTTTGATGATGCAGCCAAGGCTTTCCACGCTGCAAGCACACACAACTGGTTATATGGAATCATATGGATTCACTCTCTCTCACTGACTTAGAAACGTGTAGCAGTGCATTTTCACTGTGCTAAACAGCTGCACAATGTCATACACAGATAGATTGCTCAGCTCCTTGTATAGCACCAGACACTGCAGCTACAGCCAAAGGTCAGGCTCTCACTTCTGAGTTACAAGACAAGAATTAGAATCACACAAGCATCTATCTTCGTAATAAGAAGGAACATTAATTGGAAAATCTACAGAACAATGTGCTTGAAGCCATTGTCAAAACACTGTAACAGTGATGGAGTACAAATTGGATTTATACAAACTATTATTCACATACTCAACATTAAATTTAACTCCCATTTTCTGAGGAAACAGTTCAAAAGTTCCTCTTATACAATATGAGCTGTACTTCATAACATTCACTCTTCAAGGTAAGTGTTTCTCATGGTGTGCTAAGAGTCAGATGGCAGACATTATACAGTGAGGCTGTTTCGTTGTTGGCTTAAGTTTAAAGATAAATGTATCATACATGAAGTGATTTGGTGGTGGCAGCTTTTTTTTAAATTATTATTTTGTTTGTTTGCTTAGAAGAAAGGCATCATCCTAAACACACAAGATTCAAAACTTCTGGGTGAAACAAGCTCTGAAAAACCTCTATCCATCTGGGTGGGCCGTTTTGAAATGCATACAATCCTAACAGACTTTGGCACAAGTCTCCTATCCTGCAGCTTTTGGGTTTGTTGTTGGAAATGGGTCCATTACTAATTTCTTGCATATTGTGCACACCTGCACATCATGCCTCCTGCTCAACACATTTCTCATCCCCTGCACCACAAGATTTTAAGTTAAACAGGCTGAGCTGCTCAGAGAAAGGTGCTGTTCTCCTCTCCTGAAGGCATTAGCTAATCTAAGAACGCAGTAGCCAGGGCAAAAGATAATGAGACAATCTGCCCTTCTGCTAGCCAGCCTAGTGTTTTTGAACAACATCTAATATGTATTTAAAAAAAAAAAAAGGCAAAAAAGAAAAATTTTCAGCCCAAATGGCTATTTATAATAAAAAATAGCTGCAAGCACAGTAAGTGACAAGCACAGAAACATACTGACATACTTGACAAACAGTTAGAAAGACAAACAGCAAACAAAGCTATCTGCCCCATCACAGTGGTTAAGATCACACCTGCCATGGAACTGCATTGTTTTGCACTTCACAGTATTGCCTGAATAAAGAAAATCAGAAAACAATATATATGAACAAACAGATCAAGCATATTTGTGGCCAGGGAGAAGTGGATTTCAGAGGTACAGCGGTCCCCCACCTTCTAATAACAAGAAAAAAATCCCAAGCCTCAAGAAAAGCAGCATTTGCATTTAAGGGCAGATCTCACTGCTGTTGAAGGGAACATCAAGTAACTAATAAAGCTGAAAATAGCCTTTAAATGAAACAACTTTTAACACAGAAGAAGCATCCACTAACCTTTTCGCATGACATAATTGAAAAACTGCATGATAGATATTCTCCCATAAGGATCATTATGGAGTAATTTGGCAAAGATCTTCGCTGTAAAGAATTGCCTGTAAAGCAAATACAAAGCTACTTCTGTGCATCTGATAACACTGCACTGACAGATCCAGTTACAGTATTTGACATTTACAGATCCTGTAAAATAATGTTTTAACACAGAATGTGTTAATATGCTACATTACACTCCTCAGGTGGAATCCTACCAAGTAACAGTAAACTCAAAAATCAGCTACCTCTTCTGCTCATGAGACTCTTCAGTGATGTACAACTTTAGAGAGCTTTTATTAAATTTCTCTTTAGTACAATGTGTTTGGTAGTTTCCAATCTTCTACAACAATATGCACATAAAAGAAACTGTCAGTACTGGCAAATAATTTGCTTCTGCCCAAAGCTCAATCACAAAACTATGTGCACAACAGCCATCTCCAAAATGAGCATAAAGAACAACCATTCATGGCATGCTGTGCACATCTGGTAGGAAATTCTTCATCAGATGATATTAGGGAAGGTTGGGCAATATCACTGGAGACATGACTTCCAGTTCATTTACATAATGTGCTGTTTGTTGACCACTAACATCTAAAAATGTTCGTGCTGATAAAAACTTTTCTTCAAAAGGATGCACCATCATTCTTTCAGGCACCTCTATTACAAGTCACCTCAGAGAGGCAGAGTACACCTTTGCAAGGATGTAAAGTAACCAGTTCATCAGTAACTACATGGATTTAATTTTTTCTCACCATGAAACTGTTCCCATCTATTTTAGCAACTGAAAGTTACAGTAGCACTTAGGTTTACTCAAAATGAGCATATACAAGAGAAGAAAGCCTTACTTGCATTTTGGTCCGGCTTTTTCACCAACTTTCAAGAAGTTCTCATAATTAATCATTGCTTCTTCCCCAATCATTGGTGATGTCTGATGTTTGTCCAGTAGAAACCATAGATTCTTAAAAGGCATTTATATTTGGTTAAGATATCTCTTTAGAGATGTCAACGTGCTTAAGATATAGTATTTAAGAAACTCAGCAAAAATGTGGGCTTGATGCAAGGTATTCTCAGTTAATCAGGAAACATGGTCAGTTCAGCCAGAAAGGTCAGTGTGTGCTACTTCTGTTCCCTTAAACACATGCACACTCTCCCTCCCTCACTAGCATTTCTAGGGTCACACCCCTTTTGTCTTTGCAGTGTAATAAAATCAACCATCTTAGGAGTCTCTCTCAGTGATAGATAAACAGAACTTATTTTATCATCTGAGCCCACCAGGAAATCATTGCAACATGCTGGAAAACTGGAAGCCACCAATTTAGTCCTCCCATACATCATAATGAGGAAGCTTCACACTGGCATTACCTGCCCAAGGCTAGGCAGCACTTCAGCTTTACCAAGTACCGTGTGCCCAAATACAAAGCACCTCACCACAAGATTCTGTGGGCAGACAGGAGATCATCAAACCCTGAGAGGAGAGGATCTAAATCCACTCAGAAGCCATTACAAGACATACAGAAATTATTTTCCTACCTGCAGCTCTTCATTATCCAACAGTTCTCTACTTTTTCTTTGCAGAAAGACAGCTCGAGATTCTTCTCTTAATTTCTGAAGCAAGACTTCATCTTCAGCTGGCAGCTGGAAACATTGTGGCATTTTAATTTTCAGCGCAAGACCATTCAAAAACTACACATTCAACAAGTATTCTTAGGTAGTCTTGAGTCACACGCTCTGATTGAAGTTGTCCACTTGATAGAAAATAGCCAGTCTGCCAAACTTGCTTCTGCTACAAGGGATATCTTTGACACACAGTCTCAAACCATTTCAATAATGAAGCACTTACCTAAAGCAGGACATCTTTAACAGGAGAGAGAGAGAGAGAGAAGTACCTAATACCAGATAACCCATTGAGTAAGCACTTTCCCATGGTTGCTAGGTATGAGGGCTCACACATAAAAGACATGTGTTTTACTCAGGAGAAACAGAACATTCTGTTTTGTGGTAGGCCTGACTCTCCAAAGTGTGAAAATCTGCTAGACTTGTTTGGCCAACAAATAAGATGAAAGAACACCTCGTGTGAAAGTTCTGCCCATATTTACGTGCCAAACTGTACAGCACCACTGGAACTTGGAGAGTTGCACATGTATCCATTAACTGAAACATGGGTACTTGAGAACTGCATTGGCAGAACCATGAGACCCTAAGGAATACATGACCACGAGAGGCTTGGCAGCAGCTGAGTGGTCAAGTTAATGAGTACCAGCAATATCAAGATGTCAACATGTGCTCCCATCCTGTCTGATTCATCCTCACAACTAGATTGCTGGACCAAGCATTTCTGATGGATGATGCAAGCAACAGATCCATCTCTAGTCTGGGAGAGCAATGACCCACCATTTTCATGAGGCAGCATCCCACCATGTCTAAGCAGGAACCAGAAGATACATATGTGTAACACCAGTGTATCAAAATTTAGTAAGAATTTTAAGTGCCTTTGAAAGACAACTTCCTATCTTTACCAAGCAGACCGATTAACAAAACATTTCACTGACTCTGATAAGATTCTTAGTACTTATTTAAAACTGCTAAAATTTACAATTATACAAGACAAAACATTAGACTAAGCAATTCACATCACTCAGACTTCAATCTACTTTAGCTTCTGAAGCTGCAGGGTCCCTGTGAGTGAGCATAACTTTTTTTTATAATATACAATAACCTCTTGTTAAAAGTTTATCCGGGTACTTCACTTACCCTGTAGTAAAATCGAGGTATGTTTGCATATGACATATTGTCACTTTTTTTCCCTCCTTTCCATTCCATGTAATATTTTGTGAACAATTCCATTTCTTCATCCTTCAGCTCTTGTTCACTCTTTTTGGCTGAGTGACACAGAAAAGAACGTTCACGCTGTACTCCAAACAAAGTTTTAAGGTAACAAAGTGCTTCAAAAATAGAGATAACACTGAGGCTTATCTGGTTGTGCTGCTTGGTAACATAAATACAAGGTGGAAATGAGTGGAGCACAGATCAATCACACAAATTACATAACAGTACGTCCCATAAGTATTTTGATTATGGTCACAGCACCTCTTTCAATGACTGCGCACACCCGATTCGCTGCAAGGCATGGAGCAGCTCACGCAGCAGCTCCATGACGACGCCTGGCAGCAGAACAGCAACGCTGTCAGAGACGCTGCGCGGTGCGAGCCGCCCCTCACACCGCCTTTCCGAGCCGCCCCTCACACCGCCTTTCCGAGCCGCCCCTCACACCGCCTTTCCGAGCCGCCTCGGAGCTGTCGCTGCGCTCCCGCGAGCGAGCCCTGCCGGCCGTGGCTGCGGGAGGGCGTGCGCCGGGCAGCGCGGCCCTCACCGCCCTCATAGGCCCCACCGCCCCCGCTCCCCGGCCCCCGAGCCGCGAGAGCTGGCTCTCCACAGGGCAACTCCGGGACCCGCCCTGCCCCTGCGGCAGCCCGGACACGGCCAAGTACGGCAGCACCGGAGAGGAAGACGCTCGCCCCGCCGGCCGTGTCCCCGCCCCGCGGGTGACTGCGGGCACCGCCGGGCGCTTCCCTCGCCCGATCCCGATCCCGGGGCACTCACGCGCACGGCGCGCGGCCAGGCGGGCCCGCAGCCTCCGCTCCCAGTCCATCCGCACGCACGCGCATGCGCGCTGCCCTGAGCGGCGCGACTCTGCCCCCCTTCGGTGATTCTTGCCCACACCTGACATGGCGGAGCAGCCCCCGTCCCTCCTAAGGGGCGCGCGGATCACGTGTGGCCCCGCCCGCTGAGACGCGATTGGCTCCACGCGCGGGCACGGGCCGGCCACGCGCTTCCGGGCAATTGGGGAGCTGGCCCGCCCTGCTGTGGGGCACGGGCCTGCCGCGTATGGGCGCCGCGCGCGGCGTCAGGTGGGCCCTTCGCGGAGGGATGAGGGGGAGAGGGGTCGAGGGAGAGAGGGAGGAGCGGGAAAGACTTTTCCAACAGCCGGGGGTTCTGCGGCACGGCCGGGCCGGGTCCGCGGAGCACCGAGTGAGGGACGTGGGACCCTGTGGAGTATCCCTGTAAGGCGGATCAGCCTGCGGACCTCCCGATATTTACCTGTATAATGTAACGTGTCCCTGGGGTTTCAGTGTAATTACCGCCCGCGGTGTTGCTCTGCCTCTTTGGCAGCGGCGTTACCAAGGATTTGGGATTGGGAAACAAGTTAAACGGAAGTTTGTCACCCGGTGAAAAATGTGAGGGAAGCAATGTAGGAACCGCGTGCTGGGACTGCCTGAAGGATCAGGATTGGGATTTCTCACCTGAAATTGTCGAGCCACCTTGAGTTTCGTGTTTGCTAGCGTGCAGATGTAAATATCACAGGAAAGCACGGATCAGGTCATGATGTCGTGGTCTTATTTTTATTTTTAGGAAATCTCCTGACTTAACTTGGACAAAGGCAGGAAGAAAAACCCCGTCCTTTTTGTGTAGCTGCATCAACGTTGCCTTTCTGCATACAACAGTGACAGTACATATCACTGCTGTAACCAACAAACAGGAATGTGTAAAACATCTCTAGAAAGAAAGATACCCTCATTTTGGATGTTTGCCCTCACAGTCTAAGAGATCGATTTTTGTGAAAAAATATTTTACCATTGTTTGTGTCCATAAGAGATAAAAAGGACTCACAGAACAAGCATTTGGAAACAAGCTTGTATAGCTTGACAGCTAATAGGCTTCTGTTAATAAACATCCCCATGCAAACTTTATTTTTCGTTTTATAACTTAATCAGATACAGTGAGCTAATAGTTAGACAATTTGGTCTTGTGATGGCACTCTTTTCTCAAACTAGTCAGCAAGGTTTTCAGGCTTTGCTATGGAAATGTCACATGTTCTGGCCTGTATCAAGATGCCGACAACTGTTTGCTGCCTCTTTCAGCATCCCTATTAGGGAAAAAATTAACTATTTCAGTTCTATGACATCTTCCAGCACTGCTTTACCAGTGGACCCCAAAGAAACTGATGTCTTACCTGCCAAGAAAAGGTCTGAAATTGATTGCAAAGAAGGAAAAGGATGGGATGAGGAAACTAAAGAAATGTCTGAAGGGAAAGTCCACTTTTCTTCCTCTGTTGGAGCTGCAAAGAAATGGTCAATGAGTCATGTTGTGCCAAGGCATAAGTTTAGGAATGTACAGCCTCCAGAAAAACCTTTGCAGGCTGAGGAATGGAACAAACTAAGGGAAGATTTCCACTCACCTGAAATATTTGAAGAGGTGATGCTGAACAGTATGATCAGGTGCAACAGCCCCATTGATGTGGCCAAGTCCTTGCTGAGCCACGTGGCAAAGCGTAATGGTGACATTGCTTACAACGTGCTGGTCAAATACCTGACACTGTGTGTCCGGCAGGGACAGGTTTCGGAAATCCAGGATGTGTACGACATAATGAAAGTCAGGTTTAAGATTTTAGAAAGTGGAGCTTACGGCCTTCTGATCAGGGGGTTGAGCAATTCAAATCAATGGAGAATGGCCCTGACTGTTTTGGAAGAAGTAAAAAAGATTATGATTCCCTCACGGACGTGCTATGAATCTTGTATCAAAGCAGCCAGCCGTCACCAAGAACTGAAACTCGCCTTTGAACTGTACAGTGAGATGCTGGCTAAAGATGTGGTCCCAACCTTGGATGTCCTGCAGTCATTTTTTGACTTCAGCAGGGGTATGAAAGGTGCTGAGTTACAAAAAGAGCTCTTTGGTATCCTCTTATATTTGAGAGAGAACCAAATATATCCTCACAGGACATTTATGCGGAGTATAAAGCTATGGTTTGAAAGGTAAATAAAGTTTCAATAGCAAGATGCAGTTCATGAGGTGGAGGGATTCAGATTATCCCACAGATCAACTTTGAGACCCCTCAACATCTCATTTTGATTTTTGCTTCTCTGTGAGAGATGTGTTGTCATGAAAAGATGCATTTTATTTTTGCTCACAAATTACTGTGAAAGTTTAAAATTTTTACTGATTACACCTTTTCTTTTACCTGTTAAATATTATTCCTTGGTACAAAAATTAGGAAATCGTGTTGGGTCATGGCAATTGAAAATAGCTGACTTCATCTCTTTCTGGGGTGCTAAATAAGAAATATTGACGTGTATGAGGGCTTTTCCTGTAATTTATTGGAGTGTAGAAGTAGTAAACTAGGTGAAAGTTAGATAGTTTCTTTGTTTATAGAAAAGAGGCAGCAAATTCCACTAGGTAAAATTAAGATTAAATGCATTGACTTTGTTAATCTAGTATTCTATACAATCTTAATAGGGGGCTCTATGTTTTACCACAGTATTTAGCTGGTCACACAGTGTGTTGTCATGAGCAGTGATTGTCAGACTCTGTAGATTACAACTAGTTACAGTGCACATGCACAATGGGCTTCACCTGAGCCCATTCCATATTTGTCATGAGGTTGGGTGTGAGCCCATCTGTGATTTTTTAGCTGTTTGCTTTGATTTATGTGAGCTACAGAGCCCTTTTACAAGTTAGTCTTCCTGGATGGGAAATGTAGCAGTGGGAATGCACTACCATTATTGGGATGGCTTATGAATGTGTAGGGCAGTAACTTAGAAGTCGTCAGTGCACACTTATTGTTTGTGTTGTTCTTAAAATTTGAGGACAGCATAAACTACTGAGGTTGATGGTGTCAGTTTTTTGCATGTTGTTAAATGCTCATTCTTTATATAATATTTCCAGGTGTTACTAAATTAATATGGATTTTTATATAATTCCTTTGTAAGGTAGGTGATTCTTTGGTTTTTTTATTTCTAAGTGTTGACCAAAATATAATAATTCTGACACGTAATTCAGATATTGTTAAATAAGAGCCTACCTAATGTTTTTATTTATCTTTCCCTCTGTACATATTAGTTTACCAGGAGGGAACTGGAGAGGACACCTCACCAAAATTAAAGACAGGTAAATGCAACATTCTGTTTACAAGTGAGGTATTGTCTTGAATAGTCTATATTGATCTCTTCCTTCAAAAATATAAAAAAATGGCTTTCCTTATATAAAAAAGTATTTCAGTCCTTGAGAATATGAACCTTTGTTGTGACATATGATTTTGCAAACTCCAGTTTTCAACTCATACATTAATCAAAACCCAGCATGCACATTTGGAAGAGAATTATATTTAGCAGAGCCAAGACAGAAAAACACAGTGAAAAATAAGAGGTGCCATTTTACTGTGTGGCTTATTTGTCTCCTGTTCAGGATTTAAAGACTTTCTTTTTTGTTGACTTTATGATACTGTTGTTTTACAAGATCTATAGTAGAGCAGCTTTGGTGTGTAAAGTCTTCTCTTTCTGAAAACTGATACTGTTTGTACACTGCAGTTAATTGGTACAGATGAAAGGTTTCTCCCTATCTCATTTTCAGTGAAGACAAAATGGTTTTCACAGGTATATTTGGGTGTGTGTTTCTATCACAGTGCAGTTTTCTTAATGTCTGTAAACTGCTATTTTGAAATGTTATTCTATTTGAAACCTTGTTTTATGCTTTTGTAGCAATTTGGCAATTATAAATGTATTAATTATGAGAATGTCTCCAATGGATTATGGGGGTTTTAGGTGGTTTATAAAAATACTCTGTGTTGCATACTGCGAAGTAAAAGCACATCTAAAGCCCACAGTTTTTGAAGCCCTTGAAAGACCAGGATAGCTCACTCTTTTAAGAGTTGTTTGCTATAAAATAGATTATTATTATGTAAGAATGTGTGTGGTATTGTACTCTGTTGTAATAATTCATCATATTTTAGACAGCCTTTTCCAGCCTTTAAGAGTTTTAAAATTCTAGAGTCAATTGTCTTGACTGAGAGGTAAGTCTGTTTTCTGTCTTACTGTCTGTAAACAGTTAAAGACTTGGAGAGCTAAACTAACTTAGGTCACCTCACGTTTTATCATGGGTTAAGAATCTGTGAACAAAATGGTGACAAGTGGTTCCATAGTAGTTATTTTGTTAGAACTTTAAGAACACTTTATTTTCAACTAAACAAGTTTGAGGTAGCCTACTTGGATAAGTAATTGAAATGGTTTCAAGAAATTAAAACAAGTATAATAGCTAGTGACTTTAGTAGGTTTTGGTTGCATCGCAGAAAGAGTACAACTGATTTTCTGATGATTGTACTGTGTTGGGATTCTTTTAAAGAATTGTGCTCATATACAGACACTTGATAAGTTAGTAGTATTTAAGGAATTTCTTATTTAAAAGCTTTTTTCCTTCTATTTTCTTGTTTCACTATGATTGCAGTGGACAATGCCCAGTATGCAACCATCAGCTGGAGGACAGTAGCCTCACCGAAGAGGAATACAGTCATCTCAGTGAGAGAATAATGAGGGACGTGATACATGGAACAGACACTTTTAGAAAGACAAGTCCAGAGGTAGGTCTCGTACACTGTCAGGTTCATTGGCTAGAAGGATAATATACAAGTAATGTTCAGGCACTTTGAGAACACCAGAAATTTTTTCCTTTGCTTTAAACATTGGTAGGTCATTAGATGGGCCATGAAGTATCCTCTGTGTCTTTTTCAGTTGTGTTTATAATTTGCATCTAAATCTCAACATCTTTCATATTTTGTTTGTTCTTATGTTTTCAGCCAGCTGTTAATGGGTGCTGAAATAATTAAAATGTGGGAGGTTTTTACATTAAAAATTAAAATATTTTGATCTTCCAAAAGCTAAATTTTAAATATGGAATAAAA